TTCTCATGCTCTCTGTCTCTCATTCTCTCTCTCTCAAATAAATAAATAAAATCTTAAAAAAAAAAAAAAAAAGAAAGAAAGAAAGCAGGTAGTAAAGCTGAAAGCACACCAAGAAAGTGGCGTGCATCACAGATGGAAACTGGAACTAAAATAAAAGACCAAGATATGGTCAAGAAAGTGGTGCCACAGCACTGGCCCCAGGTTAGCCCATTATGGAGCCATTAAAATGTGCCAGAAAGAACACTGGGCGCCATGGATGTGTTCATGGTCTGTCCCAGGATAAGAAGAGCCAATGGCAGGGTATAGTGTTCTCTGTCAGTGGTTCCTGAACGTTGGCATGTATCCGAATCAGCTATATGGATTAAAACACAGGTTGCTGGGCCCCACCCATGATATCTGGTTCCAAAGGTCTAGGGTGGGGCCTGGGGAATTGCACCTACAGATGACAAGCTGACGCTGCTGGTCTGGGAAACCATGCTTTGAGAACCGCTCTTCTCTGTGGACTCCTTTTGAGGAAAAATCTGTTCGGTATGTGACTCTGGGCAAGGTCTCTGAGGGGTGGGCAACAGCTGACTTGCCAGTAGGTATGAAGCTCCATGAGAGTTGTCAGTCTGTCATTGCTTCCTGTAGTCTCAGAATAGATGCTCATTCGATACCTATGTAAGTAATCAACGAATTTTTTCCGAAATAGTGACAGTGCTTATCTCAGGGAGGTAGCCTTAGGAGAAGTTTTTAATCTTTTTTTCCCCTCATCTCTGTTTTTCTTTTTTGTCTAAAATGCATTTGGATTACGTGCATAACTTAATACTTTTTACTTTCAGTGACCCATGTTCATCTGCCCCCTGTTCTTTCCCAGCTCAGTGGGCCAATCTGGACTCCCAGGGGTCAGAGCCTCTTCAGTTGTTTTTAGTTGGACCCCATTTCTTCCCAGTCTGAAGGACCTAAATTTGATCCCCATACCATATCAACCTCTTGAAATCTTTCTGAGGCTTCATGAGCAAGGAGGCAGGCAGAGCCTCCAGCCCTCGTGGAGCAGCTGCTTTTTCCAGAATTCTACTTTTAGGGTGCCCTGCTGTACCCGAGCCAGACAGAGCTGACTCCATGGAGGTGACAGCTGAGCCTTGAATACATTCTCATTACGTCAGCACCTACACTGACTTACACTGTTGGGACCTAATATTATAGGTCCAAGACCGCCCCGAGGTTCCTGATTGACTAGAAGAACTCACAGAACTCTGAAAAGCTGTTGTATTCATGGTTAAGGTTTATTATAAGACAAGTATACAGCTTGAAATCAGCAAAGACGAAAGGCACAAAGGGCAGAGTCCAGGAGAGACAAGGTACCAGCTTCCAGCTGTCCCCACCCAGTGGAGTGACAGACACCGTGCTGAGTTTTCCCCGCAACGATGTATGGCAACATGCACAAAGTATTGACAACCGGGGAAGCTCACCAAGTCTTGGTGTCCAGGGTTTTCTGGGGAGGTCGGTTGTACAGGTATGGAGCAACCGCATAGTTGACCTTAGTCAGAGTCCCCAGCCTCTCTGGAGATGACACTGATACAGCATGGCCCAAGGCCCCCACCATGCAACCTGTTGTTAGCATGAACTTTCTGGCATGGCCCAAGGCCCCCAGTAAACAAAAGCATTCTTACCAGGCTGCATATCCCAAGGCCTTAAAGGTGATGTCCCAAAAGCTAGTCAAGGACCAGACCTTTCTCTGGAATGTTAAGAGTTGGGACAACCCAAGCCTAATGAGTGACTCCTTCAGTGCAGAGTAGCCAAGCAAGTCAGTCAGAGTCTAGCTGACCTGCCTTCCCAGGACAGCTCCAGACTTTATCCTCAAAGGACAAAATAATACTCTGATGCTTTCAGCGCAACCATCCCCATTCACTAGCAGAGAGGATGTGACCACCACTGCCTAACAGCTGTGTTTCAAACACTTCACTTTGCTTGAAGACAGTAAAGATATGATGAGATTGAAGACCTCATAACTTCAAATTCTACCTGGTCAGATCTAATTAAAAAAATATATAATGAGTTTCACATTGAGGATTGGTAGGGGTCAAGGAGGAGAGGAGAGAGATGGGAGGGAAGCAGTGTGGCTGTAGAAGGGAAACATGAGGGATCCTTGTGACAGTGAAAACATTCTCTGTCTTAGTTGTATCCATTTCAGTATCTTGCTTGTGATCTTGTTCTAGAATTGTATGAGCTGTCATCATTGGTATCAACCAGGCCAAGAGTACACGAGATCTCTCTGTATCGTTTCTTATGACTATATGTAAATCTACAGTTACTTCAAAAAAGGTTAATTTAAAAAAATATTAAAAAATAAAAAAAATTTAAGAAGACTGAGTTTGAAATTTTGCCATTTTGGAATTGCTTTAAATTTCAAACTGCATGCTTTTGTTTTTAAGACCGTTAGCATATGCTTGCCAGTGTCTACACTTTGATTACCATTTGCCCAATGTTGGTAAAAAGCCACGTTGTATGATTTTGTTGGACAAACTTATTTTGCCCGCTCTTTGGGTTTCTTTTAATTAAGTATGTGGCTGCCAAGGGATTAAGAAGCACTCACTACACAATATGAATTTAAATAAATGAAGCTTTTGGGAAACCTCTTTTAAAGGGAGTAGAATGGAATTCCGTTTCTTGAATCTAATTTATCGATGCTGGTGATTTTTCCAGGTACCTTCGATCGTTAGTTCAGAACTTGTTATTAATTCAGCGCTTCAGGAAACCTATTATTGAACATTCACCCAGGCAAGAACGGCTTAACTTCTGGTTAGATATAATTTTTGAGGCAACAAATGAAGTTACTAATGGACTCAGATTTCCAGTAAGTTATGCTTAATCCATTTCTTTCAGGTAGAACAAAAGAAACTGGGGGTTGGTGCTGTCTAATTATTGAATACGCTGAAAGGTAGAAAACCTTAGAGTAATTGAAAATGTTAGGATACCCATCTGTCTTAGGTAGACTCAGCCAGTGATAGATCAACTCACTAGAAAAAGTCGGCTGTGACCTCTTAAGATAGTGGTCTCAACTGAGAGTCATTTTGTCTCCCAGGGGACATCTGGCAATATCTAGAGACATTTTTGGTTGTCAGAACTGCGAGGAAGGTGTTGCTCCTGGCGGCTAGTGGGGTAAAGGCCAGGGATGCTGCCAAACATCCCACAGTGCACAGGACAGCCCCATCCCCAACACAGAATTACCCAGCCCCAAACCTCAGCAGTGCCAAGGTGGAGGAACCCCGTTCTAAATCACTGCAAGAGTAATAGCAAAATTTTGGAATTTAGCACTGCTCCCTGTTGAGCTTCGGTTTGTCTCCAATGCCACTAATTAACTTTTAAAACATGATTGGAAAGCAAAGTGACTATTAACTTTTCATTAAGTTTTTGTTTGAGTTTTATGACCATCTTATAAGGAGTCATAAGTATGATATCTAAGCACCCTAGATACTGAACTTCAGATCATTATATTTCATATTTCATCACAAAACCATGAGGTTTTGTGAACGTGCCGTGTTGAGGAATTTCATTAAACTTCTAATGGTGATTAAGTTGTTTGAGATGATTATGATAATGATTTTGTTCTTGGGTAATAAGTTTTAAAATCTTTTTTTTTTTTTTAAGATTTTATTTATCTGACAGAGACACAGCGAGAGAGGGAACACAAGCAGGGGGAGTGGGAGAGGTTGAGAAGCAGGCTCCCCGCAGAGCGGGGAGCCCGACGCGGGACTCGATCCCATGATCCCGGGATCATGACCTGAACCGAAGGCAGTCGCCCAACCGACTGAGCCACCCAGGCGCCCAGTTTTAAAATCTTTTAATTATGAAATATTTCAAACCTATTGAAAGGTACAAAAAATAATGGAACGGGGCGCCTGGGTGGCTCATTCGTTAAGCGTCTGCCTTCAGCTGGGGTCATGATCCCAGGGTCTTGGGATCAAGCCTCGCATCAGGCTCCCTGCTCGGCAGGAAGCCTGCTTCTCCCTCTCCCACTCCCCCTGCTTGTGTTTCCTCTCTCGCTGTGTCTCTCTCTGTCAAATAAATAAATAAAATCTTAAAAAAAAAAAAATAATGGAACAGACACTTGTGTAATGTCTACCCAGATTTAGTGATCTTAAATATGTTGTTTTATTTGCTTTGGAAATTCATTCATTCATTCTCTCTTCCCCTCTCCTTCTCTCCTTTCTCCCCTTCCCTCCCTCCCTCTCCCCCAGCAATAAAACATTAGTGATGGAATGTCACCTCACTTTTCATCCCCTTGTATTTTCTATAGACTTGAGTACCTACCTGCAGATCATCCAGTTTGCTTCATTTCTCTCAAAAACTGTAGCCTCCCTGTTTCTTCTCTGTCACCTTCTTGGGCAGGCCTTTCTGGGCCACCCTGTCTAAAGTGACCCCCCACACACACACACACACCTTTATTCTGTAGTACTTGTTTCAGAGCTGCATAGGGGACCATATTCCATATCCCATATGTGTGTGTTTCTTGTCTGCCCCATCAGAGCATGGACCCGCCTGGAGGGAGGGGACTTCTGTCCTGACTGTGGTATCCACAGGCCCTGGGGCATTGTTGGCACACAGTAGGTGCTCAAGTATTTGTGCAGTATAGCACTTCCCACTTGCTCATTGGGCAGAGTAACCTGTCTGGTTTATTCCTGTACGTCACAGAAATCTGTTCTTTTAGGTGCTGGTGATAGAACCAACCAAAGTCTACCAGCCTTCATATGTCTCTATAAACAGTGAAGCTGAGGAGAAGACGGTTTCTCTGTGGCATGTCTCACCCACAGAAATGGTAAGGAAAAAATCAGGCACAGCTCTCTCTCTATTCTCTGCTGTTTAATCAGAAATTCAGTGTTCAGATAGGAGAGTCTGTGTTGTTGGACTTGAAAGCACAGGCGGGAGAGAGGACGCTGGTTTGCCCATTTTATGTGTGTTTATGTTATATATTTGTGTGTGGGTGTGTCTGTACGAATGTGTGTATATTTATGTGAATGAATACAGGCTTGTTGAAAAAAGTTAAACCATGAGGAAGTGGATAAGGAGTAACAGGAAAGTCCCAGCAAACCCCCAAGCCTCGCCCCCGCTCCCCTCCCCAGTGACTTGGGTGCATATCCATCTTTACCATTCTCTAAACTCCCTTATGTATGTGTAAGTGTGTGTATGAGTGCATATTTTGTGTGTGTGTGTGTGTGTGTGTGTGTGTAGAGAGAGAAGCATTTTCATTAAAGTGTGATCATAAGTATATATTACTTTGCAACTTTTTAAATTGATTCATACATCATAGACAATTTTTCAAATAGCACACAGTGATCCACCTGATTTTTTAAAAAAAGATTTTATTTATTTGACAAAGATAGAGAACATAAGTAGGCAGAGCAGCAGGCAGAGGGAGAGGGAGAAGCAGGCTCCCCGCTGAGGAAGGAGCCTGATGCGGGGCTCGATCCCAGGACTCTGGGATCATGACCTGAGCTGAAAGCAGACACTTAACCGACTGAGCCACCCAGGCGCCCCCACCTGATGTTTTTAAATGTAGTATTCCTGTATCATGGTGGTACATTTCCAAGTATGGATAAAGCAAAATTTATTTTCCCACCTGCCTGCAGTGAACATTTCAGTCTCACCTGTGCACTCTATCTAGTGGTAGATATGTTGGTGCACATCCTGGTGGTTACACCCTACATGCTCCTGTATGTTGTTTCAGGAACAGAGATTCCCAGAAATGGAACTACTGGATTTAAGACTACTTTTGTTTAAAATTTGATAGCTACAGGGCGCCTGGGTGTCTCAGTCAGTTGAACATCCAACTCTTGGTTTCGGCTCAGGTTGTGATCTCGGGGGTCGTGGGATCGGGCTCCACACTCAGCAGGGAGTCTGCTTGGGATTCTCTCTCTTCCTCTCCCCCTGCCCCTCCCCCTACTCATGCGTGTGCGTGCTTCGACGCGCACTAAGGTAAAGAAATCTTTAAAAAAGAAAAAATAAAATTTGATAGCTACTAAAGATAAAATAAATAAAATGTGATAGCTCCTGTCAGGTTTGCACCACTCCAGTTTATGTTCACACCAATAATACAGGAGAGGGAACATTTTAATTGCCCACTAAAGAGATCACAGAAACACTGGGCTGTGCCTGGTGTGGTAGTAACTATTTTTTTGATCTCTGTGTGTCTAAAGTACTTCTTCAGCTTCTTTCTTTAATAACATATTTTTAGTAATAAAAGATCTAGTACCTTTGACAAGTGCATTCACTAGGTAGGTCTGTTTGCTTTGCATATGTTTTCATGGAGTGTGGGGAGACTTCTGCCATTAACCTGGCGAAGAAGGATTTTTTTCCCTGGAAATAAGAGTGTGAGCAATTATGTCTTAATCAGGTAAAAATAAACAGTATCTTCAAAAAATGAAACATAACATTAGAGAATAAGCAGAGGCCCAAAATCATGCAAGAAATTCCTTATCAGAAATAGTCGTGACACAACAACTCCCCCCCCCCCCATTGTGCAGCGGGTACGAAGTGTGACTTCTGCTGCATAAACAAGTTGCAGATGTGTGCTGTACACCGTGGCACCCATAGTTAACAGGATGGCATTGTGTGTTTTGTAATCTGTTGAGAGTTAATCTCATGTGTCCTTACCCCCCACACGCACAAAACAAAAACCAAAGGACACAAGGACACTTTGGGAGGTGTTGGATATGGCCATTACCTTGATTGTGGTAATGATTCCATAAGTGTCTGAATATGTCCAAACTCCTCAAATTATGCACGTGAAATTTATGCAGGTCTTTGTCTATTATATCCCAATAGAGGTATATATAAAAAAAATAGGCACGAAATCTCAAGTTGTCTTCCTCCACTTGAGCTGCTGTAACAGAATACCATGGACTGGGGGCTTAAACAACAGACCTTTCTTTCTCCCAGTTCTGGAGGCTGGGAGTCCAAGGGCGGGCTGCCAGCATGGTCAGGTTCTAGTGAGGGCCCTCTTCCCAGCTCACAGAAGGCTGTCTTCCTCATGTGTCCTCAGATGGTGGAGAGATGTTTCCCTTGTGTCCCTTTTAATAAGGGCATTAATCCCGGGGGCTCCATCCTCATGACCTAATCGCCTCCCCAAGGCCCCACCTTCAACAGCTGGTTTGCAGAGACACAAACATTCAGTCCACAGCATAAGTGTAAGGCAGGAACTTTGTCTAATATTTAACAGAGGACCAACCTTCTTACTCATCAGAGTCAGCAGCCATTAGTGAAGATGAGCTGCCCTAATGTGTGCTTGGCATTTTTTTTTGTTATCGTTTTGTTTTGCTGCACTATGTGTATTAATTTAAATATTTGAGTGCAAAAGAAAAAAATTAAAGCCATAATAAAATATACACATGGTGTTCAAACAGATATATCTCCTTTGAAGATATCCATAGGTTTTCTATTTGAAGAATCCATAGGTTTTCTATTAAATTTGCCTCTTGAGTTGTTTTTAACCTTTTATGGAAGTATGACATACACACTGAAAAGTCCATCAGTCGTCAATGTACAATTCGATGGATGTTTGTCACGGGAACACACCTAAGTAACCAGCATGGCCAAGGAGGAGAACATCAGCAGACACTCCCCTTTGATGCCACTGTGATGCAAGAGGATTTTCAAAATTCTGATCTGTAACCTCACTATTCCATCGATGTAGATACAAGATGCCCATTTTATTGACCCCTGTAATTGTTGCTGGCCCTTAATAGACATTCCCATGGGTACCTACACTATCTCCCTAGTTGTAAATGTTTTACTTTGTATGTAGTCTGTAATAAGAAATGGAAAAGAACGATACAAGCAGCAAATGCTAGTTTTCCTTGACTGATGAAATGTTTTGCACAAGTGCTCATAGTTGTCAGAACAAACGTCTGAGAGAAATACAAATTGCCTTTTTTGCTGTGAGAGGAAGCTTTTGCTTTTGCCTTCATTTACATTTTTGAAATTCTGCAGATCGCGAAAGCAAGCAGATTTGCCTGGTGTGAGATGACATTTCTCTACACAGTGTTGCATTTTTTCCTGGTGGGCTGAGGCTGGGGGGGGGGGGGGGGGGGAACGGGGCAGATCACACGCATGCGCGTGTTCACTTACATGCAGCACTGCTGTAGGAGGAGATGAAGTTTTGGTTTGTTAGGCAAGGATTCAGAAACTTCTGGTCAACATTTAACTCGTGGCACGGGGACATGGGAGCAGAGCGTGGACTTTGTAGCGTTTGCTGCTTTCTGTGGTATAACTGCTCCCACCGTGACCAGTTTCAAGCAACCTCCAGTATGTGCCTGGATGTGGGGTTAGGAGGAGATGGGCACAGTTGGCCTTCCTAAGCTGGCACCAGTGGCCCCCAGCACAACAGTGCAAGTAGACTGCACAGAGCAGGGTCGAACACAGCCTTGCTCCCTCAGCAACTCCTGTGCCCCAGAGTTGCCAACAGGCATAGAGTAGCTGCCGACGCCGACCGCACAGGTGGGGCTGCTTGTTGGGGAAAGCTCTGTCGTTGTTGCCTTTTATGCTTATGTTAGCAATGGGACAAGCACATAAAAAGTCTACAGAATTGTCACAGACGCCCAGGATTCCTCCCCAGAGGCATGCACTCTGGGACCTGGAGGGCAGATGCTACGTCGGCGCCCCGGGGACCCTGGAGGTGTGGCCCCGCCTCTGGCTTCCTGGCCCATTTCTCCGCAGCCCACCCTGGCTCTGCTGCTTGTGCACTCCTACTGGGGGCTTCTGACCCTGACGTGAACAGCTAGAGTCTTGAGTCCATTTCCTCCTCATGATTTAGATGTGGTGAAATAGCCCCCCTCAGAAAGGGTGAGGTCGCTGCCTAACATGGGAGGAGAGCAGCCACCGCGTTGACGATGGAGGAATCTGGGTCAGTTGACCCACCAGGACACCAGATCAGAAGCCATGAGGCCAGCCCTGACTTCCACCACCAGATGTTTCACGAAAAACCCCACGTGCAGATGCAAGAGTGTGTGGACTTCACGATTTCATTTACATATTCTTGCAGAACAGGCAAAACTCTCGGTGGTGGTGAAGTCAGAATAGTGGTTGCTCTTTCCACCCTTGGATGACTGGGCATGGTGGGGGGCAATTATGAGGGAAGCTTCTGGGCTGCTGTTCATGTTCTGTCTCTTGATTTAGATGCTGGTTACAGCGAGTCTTCATTTTGTAGAAATTTACTTCGATGATCACTGTGCCCTTTTCTGAACATACGGTATACTTCAAGTCAGAAGTTTAATAATTTTAAAACACCTGTACTGGCCCTCTGGTCATACTCCCCCAAACCATGACTGAATCCCGTGGCTTTCCAGATTAAAACTGACTCTTACTGAGTGTCAAGCCCTTGTGTAATCCCGTCTTCTCCTTGTCCCCTGAGCTGGCCCTGCAGGGGCTCCTGTGTGCTCTTCTGTCCTCCTTACTCCCCTGCAGTTCCTTCTTCCAGTCATCCAAGCCCTAACTTCTGCGGAGGCGTCTCTAACCACCCTCCCACCCCTTTCACTGAATGTAGGCTACCTTCTTCCCTGTATAGTATGCGCAGTATTTCCCATTGCTCTTGGATCACTTTTTGAGAATGTCTCCCCAAGTGCTCTGCAAGCCCGTGTATGATTTGTAGCTTTTTATATCCATAGTATCTACAAAGCAGGTACCCCCCAAATGCCCACTGACTGTGATATAAAGGGAAAGAGGGGAGTCCGTGTTGTTTACCTTTTAGCCCGCGTATCTTCCTCCCAACTCAAGAAGTTCCCTAAAGCTACCCTACAGTAAACCTTCCATCTGAGAATACTTTGAAAACTCCTGTGGCTGGCCTTTTTATATACATGCAAGCTTCTTGCCTGTAGGTGGGTAGGACAAGGTGCTCTCGAAATTGCCCTGGTTCATATTTCTGTACCCGAATCCAAAAGCAGGTTCCTGCTCTCCATGACTGCCACCTTCCAGTGACTTTGAACACAAGTCCTCTAAAATATGCTCAGTCTTTCTACACGGTTGGGTCCAAGGTGGTGGCTTTCACTTTGGCATATACTTTCATCTTTCAGGGCCCTCAAGGGTTCTCCTCTTCTTCAGAGTAGAAGAGGAGATGATGATGGTCTCCGAGGCCCTGCGTGATCTTCCTCATGAGCTCTCTCCAACCTCTTTCCCACTCCCCTTTGCCGGTTCCCAGACGTGCCCTAGGGACAGGATTTTTCCTGTCTGCCTGGGGCTGTTGTCCCTCCCATGTGTCTGGACAGCTCACTCCTTCACCTGCTTTAACCTTCTGCTGAGAAGTCATCAGAGACCCCTTCCTGGGGCATCCAGCCTAATGCCATGACCGCCGCCCCACCTTAATGCCCTTCCCAGTGCTCTCTGGCTTTGTATTGCTTTTTGTCCTCTGTCGTGATGTTACCACTTAATTAGTTGCTCCTCTCTTCTCGAATGTAAGCCCCATGAAGGCAGAGGCTTTGTTCTCTGCTACATCCTCCGTGCTGGTACCTTGCCTGGCACATAGTAGGTGCTCAATTGACACGGATGAATGAATTTTCTCCCATTGAGGGCCATCCTCCCAGGTGTTCATGTTGTTGTTCCTCCAGGATGGCAGGAAACTTGTCACCCAGCTGCTCGTGGCTATTCTCCTAAGCCATATGCTCAGTCTTCTGGCTCTCACACTTCTCTGGGGGGCTTAGCTGGTCATTTATGCCATTTTTCAGGCCAACCACATGTGCTTTCTTATTTTAAATGATTTTCTTTTGCTGCGATGTATTGGTACTGTAGCCTGTGGCTCTTCTGGAACAGATTTCAGATCTCTGTTCTGAGGCTTAGCTTTGTGCAATGTTTATTAAGTGCGGGCAGTGGTGGTGGAGGGAGGGAACAGAGTTTTTTGTTGTTTTTTTTTTAAACATTTTATTTATTTGACAGGGAGAGAGAGCGTACAGGCAGGGGGAGGGGCACGCAGAGGGAGAGGGAGAAGCAGGCTCCCTGCTCAGCAGGGATCCCGACGTGGGGCTCGATCCCAGGACTCTGGGATCATGACGTGAGCTGAAGGCAGACGCTTAACCATCTGAGCCATCCAGGTGCCCCCAGAGTTATTTTTAATACTTTTTTTAAAGATTTTATTTATTTATTTGACAGAGAGCGACACAGTGAAAGAGGGAACACAAGCAGAGGGAGTGGGAGAGGGAGAAGCAGGCTTCCCGCTGAGCAGGGAGCCCAATGCGGGGCTCGATCCCAGGACCCTGGGATCATGACCTGAGCCGAAGGCAGACGCTTAACGACTGAGCCACTCAGGTGCCCCCAAAGTTATTTTTAAAAATGCACCTTGTACAAAATGAAATCCAGGTTAGTCTTTGTGTTAGTTATGGCAAGCTATCTGCTAAAACAAATAGCACCTAAATATCAATGTCTTAACATGATAAAAGTTTATGCCTTGTGTCATAAACTTGCGGTAGGGTCCACATTCCCTCTTGTAGTGGAATAAAGGATCGCTGGGGAGGTTATTATGAACCACGCCCACAGATGGTGCACATCATTCCTCCTTAAATCCCATTGGTCAAAATTCCATCACGGGGCCCCACCCTCCAGGGGAGGCTGGGAAATGTATTCTTGGCTGTGTGCCCAGGGGGAAAAAAAGAAAGATTGGAGAACACTGATTGGTGGCTGCCACATTTTTCCTTCTGCAAATATTTTCACAGGTCACTCAACTTAGGTGGGCTGTTCTCAAACTCATTTTAGAGTTTTCCTGATAGGTTGACAGAAGATGAAAGTCCATTCAGTGTGTGCTTATTCTGTGCCTTTTCTGTTTCAACTTTTTAGATTATTCACTCTAAACTGGATTAGAGATACAAATGAATTTTTGTAATACATGAGAAAATGTTTCTGGTCTTCCAAGTTATATAAAATATATTGCTCTAACTCCTAAATCTCTCTTGAAAGTAAAATAGCAGAAGCGACTGACCAGAGAATGAAACCAAAAGTTATTTTTTTGCATGGAAAAAATCAAGCTCTACTGACTTCTGTTTTTAAAACCTGCAGAAACAAATTCATGAATGGAATTTTACACCTTCTTCCATTAGGGGAATAAGGTAAGAACATAAGGGAAAATGGAATTATTGTTTTAATACAAATAACGATGACAGCATTTTACTTTAATGTTTCCACTTATTTATAAGATGTGATATTCTCATTTTTATCAGAATCCTCAGCTTGTTCATGTGCTGCTAATAAGGGCTTCTTGGCTTGTTGTAACAGAGAAGCTTTTTTTGGTATCCAATAGACTAAACTGTCTTGTCTCAAACTTTTTTTAAAAGATGAAGTTAGATCTGTAGAAAGAGAAAGCGTTTCTTCTTTGAACCATGGATGTTCAAGTGCTCAGGGAACCCCAGAATCCCAGTAACTGAAGGAATTACTTGGTAATGACACTCGGTTGGGGTCTCCTGAGTACAATAATGGAGCCAAGGGCATTGTTCTCATTTGGGGAGCAGGTGGTGTAGTCCAAGGAGAGCTATGGTGCTTGGTCTTTGGATCAGGGGTGGTGACCATTTGGCGACCCTTGTGGCTACACTTTGAGCCTCACCCTGCCAGCACATCCAACGGCAGGAGCAGCTCGGAAGCAGATGTGAATTGTAATCCCTCTTTCACTGTTTAACCTTGACAAAATCACTTAGCCTTTCCAGGACTCTGTTCATAGTTTCCATTAAATGAAGGGCTTGGATTAGAACTGTATGTTCTTTATCTGATTGTAAGACCACAGGCCACTGTTGAATCCCCTGTTACCTCCAGACATGGTATGATCCCGTTCTAGACACAGCACTGTTTAGATTAGAATAATATTTTTGTCACTTTAAAGGGAGGGAAATAATTTAAGAACAGTAATGTATTTGAGTAATACTGATGCAAAAATATAATTCAGTGTTGAACATTTTCAAAAACTGAATACTCCAGAAACTAAGTGGTATGAGAACATGTAGTCAAGAACCTTTTGTTTGTGCCTTCTCATAGAGCTACCTCTTGCTGCCATTCAACCATCAACAGGGACGTGCAAAGGACCTGGGATGAATCAGACCCTGGAACCAATGTGCTGTAAAGAGCACATGTTGAACAAAGTGCTACCCAAATAACTGTGATAGTTTCTTTACAAATTTGTTTCCAAAACTTATGTATAACCTAGTTTTCATTATTTTTAAATCACCCTGTTGCTCTTTCAACTAAGTATTTGTCGTGTAATCCCTGACATATGAAGAATGGCTAAAGAAGCTATGGATCTCAGGGAGAGATGACTTAGGGGAAGATAAAGTGGCATCATTTGTTTGAAGAGAATTTAGGCTTTTCTGTAGTGCCACTTGGCAAAATGAGGGCCATCGTGTAGGCTTGGCCCATTGTAGGTAAAGAACTTTCGAGCAGTAAAATCCATCAGCAAATGGAGTATGGTGATTTTCTGTCTCCGGGTATGTCCAGGAAAGCGGACTATTGACTGAAGTGCTGTAGAGTCGGATCCCGACCTTAGAGGGAAATGGACCAGATAACCTGTAAAGGCCTTTCTTGAGCTAAGATGCCATGTGTATTTCTCCCTCCTTTGTGTGGCCCCAAATAGTGTGTCCTGATATTTTTCAAGTCTTGAAATTCCTTAGGTACCATACTACATTATTTCACAAATAAGCTTCCTGTCTTGTGTGTGAAATTATAAATTCTTGAGGACAGAGACCATATTGATTTCCCTTTCTTGCTGCTCTAGGCTTTGCTAGGTGCTGTACCCATGGTTAAGTTCTCCATACAAATGAAAGTCGTTTGATGGGTACAAACTCAAACATACGCAAGATAAATGTCCCTGCTATTTAAAGTTTGTAGAGAAGTAGAAGTCAAATTTGGGGAGTAGTGATTAAAACATTAATGAATCTTTCAAATTTGTAAAATGGAAGAAAATCTATGACTAGATTTTTCTCAAAAATGTATAAGTGACATCAAAACTTACACATAAGCTGCCTTATGTTTTTCCAATTTTACAGCATATCCAAGTTTGATGAGCGGTGTTGTTTTCTTTATGTCCATGATAATTCCGATGACTTTCAAATCTACTTTTCTACCGAAGACCAGTGTAATAGGTGAGTTACAGCTGATTCAGGGGGTTGTGATGTAATTATGGCAAATCAATTTTTCTTTAAAGATTTTATTTATTTATTCTGACAGAGAGAGGGAACACAAGCAGGGGGAGTGGGAGAGGGAGAAGCCGGCTTCCCGCC